ATGGGGACCGAGAAAACTGATAATGCCATTAGATTTAGCATGCTCGGAAACCTCTAAGACCCAGCTCTTGCGAATCTACTGCTTCTCAATGTAACGCTGTAAGCAAATCTTTCAACTAAAAAATCCTCTCATTAGGGAACTTAGACTTTAATGCAGTCAAAAGAAAGTTTGGCTTTTTGCGCTTGAACTTGGGATTCTTGCATCAGCCATTTTATAGAGCATATCAAGTTACACATGTCAAACTATTTTTATAACTACCCGATTAGTTTTAACTAAGTTTCAAAATTGACAAACACTAGAGTATTTGCATGCAGGTATATATGTATGCTTTTAAGCAATACTTGAACTAAAACTTTCTAATTCCAAAAAACACTAATCGAGTAGCTATAAAAATAGCTTGATCTCTGTAACTTGATATGCTCTATAAAGTGGCTGATGTGAAAATCCCAATTTCAATCGAAAAAAATTTTGTAGTCTGGTTTGTACGTATTTTAAATTGACAGTTTCTTTAGATGCCAGACTCTGTGCATTTTCGGGCTCTTTGCAAAAATTGAATATCTCAGCAACTCAACAACTTTAGGACCTATGGTTTTCGCCAAAATTCATGAAACTGTTTGCTCTAATGAAACCCTTACTATTGAAAAAATCTGGGATAGTCGATTGAACACGTTAGGTCGTGGCTTATCTTTAATGGCTCTTATATACAAAATTTATATATAACGGAACACACGAGGAACAGATCAAAAAGACGAGTAATGATACCAGTAGAACAGCAAGGGGAAAGAATAAAGATGTTCACACGGTGTAAGATCAATATAGCTTTTTTGGCGTTAGAATGTGACAATACTTTTATTAAAGCCATTTGTGTTTACTAAAACACTGAATGAAAAGGTAAGATTACTTCTCCATACGAGATCAAAAGTTAGGATCAATTATCCTATTTTTTAAGATGAAATATCTCAGGAGGTACGGTGTAAAACCTCAACCGTCGTTTAACTAATTATCAAGTACCTAGACTACCTCATTACTTTAGGGTTTTTTTGTCTATCGGCCATCCTGTTGCAAGTAATAAAATATAGATAGCTTTCTGTTCTATGTTGTAATGTCTCTCTTAAAAACACGTGCTGCCTAGTCTCATTCCCTAATCTCGATACTACTAATATCACTCTCTGTCTATATCACACGTGCCTCTATCTATAACATCTTCTCTCTGTAACTCATCACAGAGTATACAGGCTTTGGTCACTGATCAAGGATATAAGCTGTATGAGTTGAGCAGCGAGGGTAGAACACACTACAGCAATGCACAGGATGGGGATGCGAACACCTCAGAGTTTACTTTTGGACAATTTAGTCCAAAAGTAAATTCTTTGCATTTGAATCAAAGTCCAAGTGTTCGATTCTATCAACTGTGTAACGTTCTTTTGCGCTTTGCTTCTTCTGTTCTATCCTTATCTCTCCATCAACCAGTCAATCACGTAAAATGAAGTGTTTGTTGATAATTTTTTCTCTCCACCTGACAATTCACACTAAAGAAAAAAGCAAAGCAGCAAGTACATTATGCTTTTAACTGATAACATATAAAGGCCTTCTTTCTTGAATAAATACACTTCAGATTATTATTATAAAAACACTAAGCTAAGTTTCCTTTAACTCTTGCTAACGATTTGCTTTTTAGTTATTTTTAGATCATTACTGCCATTAAAAATGACACAAACATCAGCATTACTTATTGTTCTCGCAGCTTTTATATGTGTTCAATGTCAAGATACGAATGTTATTGATATTCACAACAGCGGTTCAACAAACACAGCCGGTTATGATATAAAAATTGAACGAAATGGCCGTACATCTTATCAAGTTTTTCGCCGTCGTCCACAAATAGGCGAAGATCAATCAGGCAACAAGGATAACGGAAATACAACACTGACATCTGGATTAACAGAAAATTTATTTCAACAAATTGAAAAAACAATGCCATTTAATCAATATCCAGTTAAACATTGCATAAAGAGTGTTTCATTTGGATATTCACTTGTTGTGAAATACAATGGCCAAACGACACCCGACTTATCATGTCCAACTGATCATGAAAATTTATCGGTTTTAAACAAGATGGTACGAGATATCGTTACCGTATTGGGTATTAAAACAATAGGTTAATAATGATTCGTATAGTGTTTTTTGTTTATGTTGAGGAGAAATACGGTGTGGCACTGTTCTACTGGAATCAAAAAGTATTTTTCACAATAAAGAAAGAATACATTTCCAGCAACATTATTCTAATTTGGGGTGCCTCATTTCAATAAAAGTATCATTTACTTTGCCCGTAAATCTTTTCAATAAGACTCATCAATATTTTAAATGTATCTGAAATATCCAAGTTAATAGTCTCAATCCTTTTTTCTTGTGTTAATAAACGAGAAGAAAAAGCTCTTTGACTGTATGAGAGAAACGTAACTTTCTGGTACAATCGATAAAAAAAAATGAAAGTGTTCATAAAAAAATTTGAATGGTACGTTTTGTCCCCCTGTCTTTGCCGAGTATCCTATAAAAATTTCCCAACTGCCAGACTCATACTGGCTGAGT